AGCGGTAGCAGGAGGGAGCAGGCGGGATGTGGACGGAGCGGGGCCACAAACCCTAGCCAATGTCACTTGGAAGCTATTTTAAGGTTTATCTTACCACGCTCGGACAAAAATGTGCTTTGGAGAGACCTTATCGTGGCCGTGGGCTTTGGCTGAGGGGCAGCAGAGCTAGTGTGGGGAGATGGAGCAGAGAGGGAGGCTGCCTGGTATCCCATGGGTGCGCCCATGCCCGTCCAACACCGAATGTCCTGGCCCATAAACAGCCACAGCTCTGACTGGGCCCTTTTTTTGGCTCTCTTAACTTAGTTGAGCAGAGGAGGGATGGAGGAAGCCGCCAGGCTGGTAAGGACCATCGTAAAATGGGTTCACTTGATCTGCCGAGGCTCCACGTCTTACCTCGTTCAATCGCTAAACTGTGGATCTTGGTAAACGTGGCATTTTCCTAGACGAAAGCCCATCTGCCTCAGCTGCCTTTCGTGATGTTTCTACCCGTGGGAGAACAGCGCGTTGGCTGTAAAGGCGGGACGAGCGCTGGGATGCGCCTCCTGCGGCAGCTTGTGACTCTACCTCCTTCTTGTTTGCTTCCAGCTCATCCTTCCTTCCCGCAGCTCCTGCCTCCTCGCAGGATTGCTCCCAGCCCACAGGAATCACTTCTCACACATGGTCTTCTGAGAGCTGCTACTGCTGAAGGAGCATGGAAATTAACTCCAAGATTTGTTGAATGTCAGGAATACTGATTTCATCTCTCCCTTTGCCTGTCTCCGTAGCAGACACTCTGATGGCAAATCGGGATGGGAACGACTCCTCAGGGAGCTCTCAGGCTGGCGGCAGAGCTGGACTGTGCTGCAGGTTTTCTAAGACCTCGGCTAAGTCATTCACCCTGCTAATATCTTGTATTCATGATCCAGCTGCTTTTAAAGTACTTGTAGACCTTCAAAGGCCTAAAACCTTCCGCCTTACAGCTCTCGAATGGCACTTCTAGGAAGGCATTTTCCACATGGATACTAATGGGAAGAGAGCCTCAAAAATGCTTCTTGAAGAGACCAAGTATTGGAAGGAAATACAGTACCGTGACTGGAAAAGAAAGAATGATTTGTATGCATAAATAAAGAGAAAGCAGAGTGTTTTTCAGTAGTATTTCCAAGTAACAGTTTCATGACTCATGGCAGGGTCCTTCGCTAGCAGAGCCTTCTATCTCTGGCTCTTCCTCAGGGGTCCGCAGTGTCTGCCCCTGTGCTGGGGCCTCAGTAGTTTAACCTCTTCCATTGGGTG